TATCTTAATATTGATTGCATACATTGAATTCAGTACCTATTGCTCTGAAGAGAGAAAACTAGCACTCAGTTTTCCAAAGTCCCCCTCCCATGTCCCACTGAGGAATATTCCTGCTTAGTGTCTAAGGCTGGATAAACATAAATAAATCCAAGTTAGGTATTTAAGAGCCAAGATGTAAACAAACACAATGATAAGTCAGAAAACATGGAAACTGTGGATGGAGACTATTCAGAACCACTTTTGATAATACTGAGCATTTCTATACAATGTGCTTTGATTCATGAGAGAATCTATATTCACACACATGAAATTTCTCTTGAAAAGAGACTTGAATATAGAATTACATTATTTTCTCCAAAGAGATACCTATGCGACATGAAACAACTTCCAAATGGAAGGGGCTCCTAATGATCAATGCGCTATTCCTGGCTCTGAGCTGCCTACCAACCAACAGAGAAGAGAAATGAGATGGCACAGCCATTGCTCAGCTCTCTGGTTTAGGTTTTAAGCACTGAACCATATCATCACATCTAGTTTTGCCCTTTAAATTAACATCCCATTATCATGTTTTCTGGCAGGAAACTGTACAGATTGCAAATTGAGTTGGACTTAGAACTCCACAAGAAATTAGAGCAGTGACAGTTTAGACATTAAATACTAGACTCTGGCTCACAGAGTCCCAAAATAACGAGAATTATTTCAAGTTTACAAGACTGAGAAAGGCAGAGAGTGAATTAAGTTCTTGAGAGCAAGGGTGGATGGGAATTGACGGAAGTGGCAGTGGGAAGAATGGCAACAGCCACCACGATAAATGCTTATGTCTCAGTGATAACTAACCAGGGGTTCACTTCACTCCCTGGCTGGTGCACTCGAGTTGGGCTAGATGAAGAGTTTTAGCAATGAGTGCACTGAAATATTTAGAGACAGCTCCTGACCCACCTTCTTCTCATGGAAGGCAAAATAAAAGAAATGCAAACCACAAAACAAGAGGAGAACACACTATCAGTCATTAAATAATTTTAAGATTTACTTTTTAATTGCTTTTTTGGAGCCACTGCTTTGTTGATACTCAAAGTACATGATCAGACTGTCTAATGGATGATCCAATGCTGCACCCCAGAAATTCCAAATGTAACATGTTATATATTCATTACTTTAAGGGTGTCTAAAGATCTGAATGGCAATCACCTACCTGCTCAATTTAGGTGAACCATCCCAGCTTCTTGGCTGTTTCATGAATGGTCTTTCAAGCTAATTTAGTCAAATGAGTCAGAAATCTTTGCACGTATCCCAGTGCTCAAGTCTACAAAGATACACTTTTGCCAGTGTACTACAGCACAAGAAGACAGGCCATTTTGTGGAAGAGAATCAATCAGAATCTTGTCCTGTGGGAAACTCACTCAGTAGTTCCATTGTGTCTTCAAGGCAGATTTCAAAATCCTTACCTATGACTTTTAGAACCCTTCACTATCTGTGTCTACCAAGTTCTAGTTAAATAACTAGCAGTTCCCAAATATGCCTTATTCTTTTCCAGAAACTTAATATTTGCTATGGGCCCCATCTAGATCAGCCATGTCCATTAAAAATATAATGCAGCATATGTCATTTTAAATTTTCTAATGGCTACAATAAGAGAAATAAACAGATAAAATTAATTCTAATAATATATTTTATGTAACTCATTATATCCAAAAATACTGTCATTTCAACTTGTTATAGATATACAAATTATTAATGAGATAGTAATACTTTTTCATATCAAGGCTCTGAATTTCAACATGTATTTTACACATTCAGTCCATCTTAATAATGACTAGCTGAATTAGCCATGTGGCTAATGGCTACTGTATTGGACAACACAGATATAGAAAACCACTTTCCTCCTTCCTTTTAAGATTCAGACCAATCTCACCCTTCCCTGGGAGGTCTTCCCCCATTCCTGGTGTGGGTGTCTGCACACATGCCACCAAAGCACCTTACACATCCCCTCCACAATAGCACTTATCACACTGTATTACCTGTTTGTGCGTTTTTATCTGCCAGTAGACTTGATGCTTTCTGTGTGTGGGGATGCTGCCTTATCTAATTGCATACGCCAAGCACCTAGCATAATGTTTGTCACATAAACTGTCATGAGTGTTCACTTACATTAAACAGAAAAAAAAAAAAACCCCTATAATTGGCCCAGTGGCAACTAGTTCAACAGTAAATCCAAAATGTCTATGAAACACTTGCCACCTGTAGATCACCATATTCCAAAAAATCAAACCAAACTCACTGCTGTCGAGTGGTATCTGACTCACAGTGACACCTCCTTGGGTTTCCAAGGCAGTATCACTATGAAAGTAGACTGTCCAACCTTCCTTCCAAGGGTCACTATATTAGTAAACTAAGAAACAGTCTCTGTACCCAAGTTTTATAAATCTGCTCTTGAAACAAAATTCAAGGAAAAAATAATCTTGAAGTCAAAATTCTCACAAGTGTCTAATTAATTTATAACAATTTGATATAAGCCAAGTTATCATGTACGCTACTTAAGTTCCCTTTCAAAGGGATTTGATACTGTCTTTGTCATGGAATTAACCAAGGAGCAGGTCAACATTTGTCACTCAAAGGGAAGGCAGAGTGATATCTGCTTCCAAGCTATGGCTAGTGAACTGAGGAGGGCTTTGGCTCAGCCGTCTACTATGGGACATAAACCAATCAAACGACTTGAAATGAGTGAAACTAGTGAAAAGACATCTGCCACCCTTCTTCTTCTTCTTTTTTTAACCTCGTTAAATATCTGGCACCAAAATATTTTTGGATAGTATAAAATAAACATGTCATTTATCTACATATTTTTGGTTAAGCTAATAATCTGGCTTTTGTTACAATTCCACTGCATTTTGCCCCTGTGAGCACATGCATGAGGAAATTATTCATCTCTTTCCTTAATGTCATATTGTTGGGGAAAGTCATAAGGTATTCTTTAAAAATAGAAATTCTCAAACATTGAAAGCACTGTCTTCCTACATGCTTTCTCAACATTATCCTCTTCTGTAATGATTAACTGCAATGTGCCATGTTAAAGGACTTTGTAAACTATATGGCACTATATAAATGTGAGTTATTATAATAATTGAACAGGTTATTAATTAAATACAGCAATAGTAGAAAAATTGAATTTTTAATTTTCATTATTCTTCTTAAGTGTTAACTAATGACACCCTGGCAGATCTTAATATCACAGCTCATTTGAAAGTTGAGAAAAATGAGGGAACGTGTTGCAATTTGCACAAGATTTTCGATTCAGTCTTAGGTAGATTCAAAGTTAAATGGCAACAACCACCCTATACTTTTAGCCTACGTATTCAGTTACTTCTTGCCTTCATCTTGAATGCTTGCAATGAACAAATCTCTCATTTATATCCTTTTCCTCCAGCTGGTAACTCTTGGCTAATGCTTGATTTTGACTCTTTTCAAACCAAAACCAACCTCACTGCCTACTGAGTCCATTCTGACTCATAAGGACTCCCATTGGGTTTCCGATAAACCTTTATGGAAGTAGATTGCCCATCTTCCCTCCATGGAGTGGCTAGTGTGTTTGAACCCCCAACCTTCTGGTTAGCAGTTACATGCCTTAGGCACTTTGCCACCAGAGCTCCTTTTGACTCCATTAGTCAACTCTTTGGTACAGGTTTCTCAAGCGTGTGTTGATGTTAGTGGGTTTTCTTAAGGATTCCAGATAAATCTAACCTTCATAGGAATATAGAATTTTTCTAAACTTCGGTTTGCATATAAGCAAGCTTTGTCAAAAACTGATCTTCACAGAACTGATTTTTAACAGCTAGCACAGCCAGGCAGCAGCTGCAGTGAACAGAAGCGAGGCCATTTCTGATTGATTAGCCATGGTCCCCTAGAGCAACATGTTGAAAAAGACCCTAATGCTCCATGGGAGCTCAGTGGGAAAGAGTTCCATGATCGATTAGGAATGTCTGCCCTGAGCGTGTACTGGATGCTGACAAAGAGAGTGCCTCCTATTTGTCAGCCAGGCTCTCGGTTGATTAGCTAATGCTTTCAGCTGCTAACTGAAAGAATGGGGGTTCAAGTCCACCCAGAGGAGCTTTGGAAGAAACAGCTGTCCAATCCACTTCCAAAAATCAGACGCTGAAAAACCCATGGAGCACAGCTCAACTCTGGCACACACGGGGTCGCCACGTATCGGAAGAATAAACTCAACGGCAGCTGTTAGAGAGCTGAGGTGGAGCCTACCCATTAACAAGCAGCTGATGCCTCGCACAAACCTGTGTAACCTAAGTTGGATCTTTACACTGAAGGAGTTAGTACCGTCTGGATGTCAAGTGAACATAATACCCTGCAGTAAGTGGTGCTGAAATTCATAACGAGTTCTTGAAAAGCAGCTCTTAAGAAATACGGCTATGTCAACTCCACATTTAGGTGTTGACCCAGCACAAGTAAGAAAGGATGACTTTCAAAGCACATCTCCCTCTATTGCTTCCCTTTCAATCTAACTTCAACCCAGTCTCTTCACAGACTATCTGTCAAGAAGATACAAACTGAGACCAAGCAGCCTTCCCTTCCTCATCTTTCACCCGAAGAAAGAAGCAACAGGGAACCATAAATACAACTTACTATCTGGCTGGGTGGAACCAGAATCGGACTAAAGAAATCTCTGCTCTCTTCACTTTTGAACACCACTGTTGAAATCTCCACTCCGCCCACTTTTGAAAATAATAGTGAACTTCAAAATGAAAATACAACTGAGCAACATACTGGCTTAACATTTTGTTTTCCAATAAGCTGTACTCAGAGCTCAGTAGACTCACTGACACCATAAAGTCAACAAAACAGAACAAAACTGAACATGGCCTATACTAATGAAAGCTTGGCTTTAGTTTTAGTTTCTAATCTACAAAAGATGAAAAAAAAAAAAAAAAAAGGCGATGACGTCGACAAAGAAACACTCCTTTAAATTGAGTCACCTCCCGGCTGCTTACAATTGCCTTCTGCCTCTGCCTCTCCCTCTGCTTGGCCCTTTCAGTCTCCCGCTTCTCATACTCTTTGCGGTATTCTTCCCTCTTCAGCTTCTCGTGCTCATACTCCTCGAAGCTGTCATACCTGGGAAACATAACTTCATCATTAAGTCAACCACCTCAATTTGCATGAGTAAAATTAATAATAATTGGGTGTGGGGGGGTACAAAACAGGGTCTTAGATAACACCTTGTTATCTAAGGAAAAAGGGGGGTGCAAAGAGGGGAGCAGAAGGGGGAGGAGATGCATACTTACCTGTGCCTCCGGCTGCAGGGTGACCTGGAGCACAAGGCCCCACACAATGCAGAGCTGTGATGTGTGCGGTGCCTGCAGTGACTTGACTCATAGTAGTGGCAAGATCTGGGAGAGAGGAGAAGAACAAAAAGGCGTTTGCAACTGCCACTTAACCCACGTTTATCAGCAATGTTGAGTATCCTGTGACGTGCCGTGTTAGGAAAAACGGCTTTTTCTTCCTAGCGACCAGTGAGATTTCCCGTGACAGTCTGTGATCATCTAGTCAGCTTAGAGGTCTGGGAATGATGTGTTTTCTCTCAGAGACTCTTATTGATGTTAACACTGAGCACCGGGTCTGGTACACTGTCAGCTTTATCTTGCATGGATCTCAACTCTCCTGGCACAGGGCAGCTCTCCTGGTAATGGAAAAAGTTAGATGAGCAAGTTTCTTACAAATTGCTCTCTCTGATCTGACCGGCTCCAGGCACCATGCTCAAGGCTGACAGATTTAAGAGAAGATGGGAAGAATGTGTGTGTAACAACAATCTCGTTACTTTCAGGGCAGTTGGCTGGCCTTGGGGTTTGAATGCTTTTTCTTTCTTTTTTTTTTTTATTTTTGGCTTTCTAGGAAAGCCTTGTGCTTGAGGTGGGTTTTGACAAGGTTTACCTTGAAGAGGATCTACTGCCTGGGGACCTTGATCTTGACCTGGAATACGGTGACCGGGAACATGACCTGTGTCGAGAAAAGGACCTGGAATGCGAACGCATCCTTTGGGGTCTTTGAGAAAATAAGGATTTGGGTGGCGACACTGAATCTCTACACGGAGAATTAAAAGAAGAGCAAGAAGGCGACACATCGAACAATGAATAGGATTGCGTGCCATCCCAAGGGTAGTTCAGTTTATCACTCTCATCTTCGCTGTCATCAAACAGGCCATCCATGGCTAGTCCTGAATTTATAAACATAGGTAGTTTGGAGAACTGTTCGTTACTGAAATCACTGTCCCTCAGTTCACTGGGCTTGTCTGCTTCGTCGTCAAAAACAGCTTGACTGGGATGACCAAAGTGCTTGTTCAGCTCAGCTCTGATTTCCTGGTCTTGGAGCTGTTTCCTGGTGCTGCAAGGAGAGACCAGCTTGCTCCCCTCCAAAGTGTCTCTCAAGTAGCACTGGTCTGAGTCTGTGGAAGAACGAATCTGCCCCTGCCAATCAGAGGACGCATGTTTATAGTCTGGTTGTCTGGAGTCTTGGAGCTCCTGTGAAATACTGATGAGTATTTTCGATTTGGAATTCAGTGACTGACAATAGTCATGGTCACCAAACAAGCGCAGACTGGGCCGCTTGGTCTTCCTTTCCTCCTGGCCACTGGTGAGCACCGAGGTCTTGCTGAGCTGTGCGTACAACTCAGATTTCTCGGGCCCCTTCTTGGTGGAGCTGTTTCCCGGGGTCCCAGAAGACTCGCTGTACCGGGCCTTCTTCAGTGGTGGTGAAAGCACAGTCTTGCAAGAGGACTTCAGCTTTGGAGAAGCCCTAAAAGGGGTATCTTGGCTGGCTTTATGAGGAGGAGTTGTGGGCGGAGTTAGGCCTAAGGCAGAAGAAGAAACAAAAAAACAAACAACAAAAAAAGAGGAGGGCATGGTGAGAGGCTTCAAGCGAAGAGATACTGTTTTAAAATGCCAAGATATGTTTCCTAACTTACCCACGATTTCAGACAAGGGTTAAAACTGAGGGAAAAAAGAGGAAACTAAATTCTTGACAAGACCTAAAAAAGTGATTCTCTTCCCCTAAGCCTCTGTCATCAAGAAAAGATGGATCTGGAATGCCAGGCAGCAGGGAGAGCCGTGATCTTTTGTATTTCAAACAACAATGCTAACAGAACCTGCTTCCCAGAAAACACTGATGCGTCACTGCTGGCCGTGACAGCATCAGGCGTTCCCAAGCTCACATTTTCAAGGGCGCTGTGTGGGCTACTTTGTGGAAAATTAACACAGCTGGACTCCGGGGAACCACAGAGGGCCTTGGGAGGGTTTGTCTGAAAAGTATGTGGCAGAGGACGCAAGTGGCTCAGGTTTCCTTGAATCATCAAGAAAATATAATCTTGGAACCAAGGTATTAGGCAATTAGGGGAAAAAAAAAAAAAAAAACTGGGGGGATATGACAACGAATGTGGGACATGGTAGAAATGAAATATGCAACTTCAAAGCGAGTTCAGTAAAATACAACTGACTAATACAGGGAACTAGAGCAAGTCTCCAACTTGATGGCAATGATGCTTTGTCTCCACAGTTCATTAACTTAGTAAACCATGGCTAATGTAGGTATAATACATTCTTGTAAGCATAACTAATACATTCTGTCTAAAATATGGTTCTGCAACCAAAACCTAAGAGAACTGTAACACTCAATATTGCAGTGCTAGTGGACCATTTTATTTAGAGCTCAACATCAGGAAGGGTTATGAGGCTGAGGGACTGAAACAAATCCAAGCTTCAGCATCCAACTAATTAAATAAATAAATAACCGAGGGGAATGGAGAAAGTCCATCAGGCTGTTGCCTTACTGGCTTTTCGACAGAAAGATAGAAAATTCCATCAGAAGCCACTGTGGGAGAGGAGTTGGCTCCATTCACGTTTCACCCCTGAGTAAGTTCCACTAGTCTCTTTCTGCCAAGGAAGAATAATTGTAAAATGGCTTCAGAGTCCAAGGAACTTTGAAGAAGGGCAGGCTGGAGTTCAAATGACTTTATGCTTACAAGGGAATATTTTACTTTACAATATACTTTCTATTTAGGAGGACGGGTGAATACTATTCAGCAAAAAGAATCTTGGAGTCCACTAACCAGCCTGGGGTTAGACTCAAGGCAACTACATAGTTTGTTTCAAGGAAATGTAGAAAAATCCTACCTTGCTGGGGGCAAAAAAAAAAAAAGTATAAAGAACCAAGTAGGTCATAGGAAAAACATGAAATATTGATATGATAAGGTAGACTTTATCTTAGATAAAGATTCACTATTTTAGGTCTCTCTGCTATTTTACATTAAGGAGATAGAAGAAATTAACATTGTCCCTGAATTGAAACGTTATACCAATATGTGGCAATTCTTGTTATTCATGCCAAATTCTCCCTAAAGGAGGGAAGGAAGGAGCCCTGGTGGTACAATGGTTAAATGCTTGCCTATGAAACACAAGGTCAGCAGTTCAAACCCACCAACTGCTTCAATGGAGAAAGATGTGGCAGTCTGCTTCTATAAAACTTTAAAGGCTTAGAAACCCCATGGGAAGTTCAACTCTGTCCTATAAAGTCACTATGAGTGGCAATCAACTTGACAGCAGTGGGTTTGGGAGAGAAGAAAGAACACAATGATGCAAAGTGGTTGGATTTTGGAATTCCATCTAACGCAAGCTCAGAAAGACAAAAGGAGATACAGGCAGAGAGGATCTCTGCTCTTTCTCTTGGAAACACTTGAGTTCCAACCCCCCCATTAGCAGACTCTGTCCTTTGCCCACCCCGTTCTTCACAAGTAGATGTATGACTTCCATGGAGACATGACTTGTATTTACTGAATGAAACACCAGTATCACTGTGTCACTCGTCCTTTGTTCCCTCTTTCATGGGAACTCAATCTAAGAAGTTTTATTCATGTCTACCTTTTCACCTTTTTCCCTGTTTCCTTGACCTTTTGCACTTCCCCATTAGCCATACTCTTTTCTACCATGTATTACCTTCAAGTACCATTACAAGAAATTTAAAGAAACTGATCCCAAGCAAATAAATGGCAAGCATTCAAATATTTCTCATAGGAGGGTAAAATGCTTAAAGAAACAACGGCCTTAATCTCTCTTTGCTGATTACATATAGTCAAAGATTACAAATGGCATAGCCCTTGAATTGGGGTAAATGACATTTAACATCTCCAACTGAACCTCATAAATCTTTTCACAATCATCCCAATTTAGGGGAATGTTATTTATTTCAGTAATTTACAATCAGGATCACCCACTAGATTCCAGATATCACTAGTCTTACCTTTTTGAAAAATTATCATCATAACTTGTGTCTCTAAATAGATGATAAATTCTTAATGGGCCTGCTAGCAGTGCTTGTGCTTATTTTTTTTTTTTTTTTTTTACATTGTCCAGATCCTTCTATCATAGTGGGTCTCACATTTCAGCAGCCCAAGACCCACTTGGGAAACTAGTTAAACACTTGTAACAGGCTGGTTCACAGACCACATACAGGGAACCACTGCCTATGGTGTGGGCATGGCATGTGGCCTTGCACTTCAGGTAGATGTATTTTGACTGATAGTCTACATCTATAATAAGAAACTCTAAACTTCAGAAACACCAAATTAGGCCACTATTAAAAAGAGACTTGTTCTAAAAATAGCTTTGCCATCTAGGGATTTTAAATATAGAATTCTTTTTAGTCTTGAAAATGTGAAACCCTTGTCCTAGTACCTAAGCTCATTATCGCTTAAATAACCGATTCTCAAGTTGCTCTTGGGATTGGCGACACTCTGATTGTAGTTTCTTTGAGTTAAAACAAAGCTTTTGACCTTCTTCACATAGGAGACAGCTTAGTAACTGAGCAGACACTCACAGTACACCTACTGTGTACTGGGTACTGTACCAGATTTCAGGGACCCAGCCCCCAGGGACTTCACTGTACTTTTTTTTTTTTTTTTTTGTAATAAAGAGGGAAATCCTTGAAATTGGAAGTCAATTTTCCAGTATATATATTTCAAAGTCACCAAAACACACTGAGAGAACAAACTATGTCCTATACAAGAAAAACAGGGCTAAAATTTCTGCTACCACCACTTGTTGAAACAAATCATTATATTTGCATAGTGGATATTTTAGAATTGGTGAGTAGGGACGAGGTGTCGATAATTCCCAACATTTCCCAGTGTTTTCCCGAAACATCTTTAATCAGAGACTGCCTCAGAGCAAGACTGGATAATCTCCAGGGTCACAAGACTTTGTGTCCCCACGTATCTCACTGAAACTCTATTTTCAGATATGCTTGAGAGTGACAACAAAACAAAACCAGAAAAGTCTAACATGCATTTTTTTTTTTTTTTTTAACTTAGTGCCAAACTTTTGAGGGCTGCTGATGGGACAAGAAATCCCTTGTCGCATCCGAGTTAACTGGGTTCCTCCAACCACCCTCCTCTGCCCAGAACTGTCTCCTGCCTGGCGGTGGGACAGAGGTCAATACTCAATTCCTTAATGCCACTACCTTCACTCATCTTCCCACTAATCACCCGACTCTCAATTTCATGCCACAAGCCTAAATCAACAGAGCTAATGCCTCCCATAACCTCCGGATTATTTCCTGTGTGTTGATTTTCTGGAATGTGTACATTTTGGTATTGACAGTACAAGGTATATTCCGTGCTCTCTCTTGAACCTAGCAGGTTTTGACAGATTTATGTGAGGACAGATGGCCATTACAGGCTGAAGGCTGACAAGAGGCAGTTCAGAGCATTGTTAACACACTTGCACAAACTCTCAGCAGAGCAGCACTGTGCAGAATGTAATTCAGACTATAGCTTTTTTATTGCTGCCTATTTTCTTTTGTCAAAAGAGCCTGCTGTGCAGAGCAACAAATGGCTGCTATTACCCAGAATGTAATGGGTGTCAGACAAATCACGTAACACAAACAATCAAGAGTATGTAGGTCATATTTCAACAGAGCACAACCTTAGCAATATTTATGATTACTGCATTGAAATGTGCTCTATAATAAACAAGGACCTCTCCATCGCTCACACTTACGCACTTCTGCCCAGCAAATCCACGAGAAGTGGGACACACTACAGTCAACTTTTTAAACAGCCCTTTTATTTAAATAAAAAGTCAAAGACAAGTTTTGTTTTGTTTTGTTTTACATTATGTGCTATAAAACAATTTTCTTTGAGGAGTTCTCTTTTGGGTTTAATTGAATGACTGTGATGAGTGGTGAATACTCTGTGTGTGTGTGTACTTGCGGGAGTGTGTGTGTCTGATATCCATCCACTGATGTCAGCAGGACTTTTTTCCTTCTGTTTTTTAAAAGAGTATATAACACTGAACAGAATCGACTGCTAAATCAGCAACTCACCTTGAGTTTATTTAAGAGAAAGTTCTTTACTGCTCTCCCATGTCAATGAATGTGTTTCTTAAGGAAAAAACAATGAGAAAATGGGTTTCTAATCTGCCTTAAAACTTCAACAAAAAAGGACAAAGAGAGGTATGTCACTTGTCCCATGAATGTATTTTAGGTCTCAAGAACATGGATTGGGTGGTCAAGTGAGCACAGGAAGTACTGATATTCACTCAGTACGAACTAGTACTGTCATACCAGTTATTAAATATTTGATTGATAAAGGCCATGTATCTTGGCTTTCCAGTGTCCTCCTTGCCCCTCTCCAAGGATTAACTGACGCTTTCCCCCAATCCAGAAACTAAAGTGTTAATCTCATTCATCCAGGGCCTCCCAGCGCCTTCTCTGGTACTGTGGCTGCCATCAATCAGTTCATTGTGATGTGGCGCACTCCTGCCTTTGATGTTGTTACTAACTGCCCTTGACTTGGTCCCC